GCACCACATGCCAGCCAGCCCCGCCCCCTGGTGGGCTGAGCTGGCCACACACACACAATAAATAAATGTAATAAATAAAAATAAATAAATAAATATGTATTCAGAGGAGTTAATTATGATTTTCAAAAAAATCAAAGTAATGGAGATAATGGCTGTGGTGGTGCACGCCTGTAATCCCAGCACTCAGGAGGCTGAGGCAAGAGGGTCATTGCTAGTTTGAGATTAGCCCAGGCTGCAAAGTGAGCTCAAGGCCAGTCTGAACCACAAGTCCTTGTCTCAGAAAGACCAAAAAAAAAAAGGAAATAGAGGTGAAAATAATAGATAGCATTTAAAGAGCCTCTTCACAGATTTCAAGATACATATTTTTTTTTTTTTTAAAGTCAGTTTTAGTATGTAGTCCAGGCTGGTCTTGAACTCGCTATGGAGCCTGGAGTGCACTCAAACTGACTGAGAGATCCTCCTGCCTTAGCATCCCAAGTGTTAGGATTTCAGGTGTGCACCACTATGCTCAGCTCTGAAACACATTTTTTTTTTTAAATTTTATTTATTTATTTATGTGTGTGTGTGTGTGTGTGTGTGTGTGTGTGTGTGTAGCCAGCTCAGCCCACCAGGGGGCGGTGCTGGCTGGCATGTGGTGCTGGGGGATTGAACCGTGGTCCCCGTGCTTTGCCAAGCTTGTTCTAAGTAGGTGCTTTAGACCACTGAGCCATCTCACCAGCCCCTGAAACACATTTTGAATCACTGAAGTCATACTGATTTTAAGCTAGGGTTTATACAATTATATACATAATATGTAGGGTCACTACATAGGCAAGCCTTGAGCTTACTATATAGCCCAAGCTGGCCTGGAACTCATGATTGTGTTGGTGCCAGAGTGCTGGAATCACTGGTGACACCATCATGCCCACCTGTTTATTTTTTTATTTTTATTTTTGCAGAGCTGGGGATTGAACTCAGACCCTTGCGCTTGCCAGGGAAGCGCTTATTCTACTGAGCCATTCCCCGGCCCCATGCCCACCTGTTTAAATAATACTTCTTTCCTTTCAGCAAATTCAACACCCTACGGCCTCTTTAATAGCAAAAGTAGCAACAGCCCAGGATGATATAACTGGTGATGGTACTACTTCCAACGTCCTGATTATTGGAGAGCTGCTGAAACAGGCAGATCTCTACATTTCTGAGGTATACATAATCCTGTTTTTGTGCTATTGTGTATAGGAAGCGTCTGTTATTTGTGTACATTGCTGTGTGAATTATAGCCTAGGCCACACAGTAGAACGTAAAGGTGCGATTTAAATCTAGGAACCTGTGTCTTTGTTGTAACCTGACAGAAATTTTTGTGGTTATAGACAGGTTAAGAAACTTCATGATCTGAAAAAAATATACAAAAGTCTTTTTCGATTAGTTGAGGTCGAGAGATCAGGGCTAGGCATATGTATAGGGAAAGGGTCAACTAAATATTTAAGTAAGAATTCTGCAACTTTTTAAGCCTAGAATAGCTCTGAGTTAAAGTAAACTGCAGTATTAGTCCACTGTCAAAATTTCCTGGAGAAAAGAAAAAGCATTCTTAGTCTTCCATTTGTTTATTTTTAACGCTAAATAGCATGAATTTCAGATTACATATAAAAAAGATAAACTATATCTATTGAATGTGAATATTTGGGACCCCAGTTGGGGTTTTGGCATTATCTGGTGGCTTGCACAGTAAACATTCAAGTGTGCTTTGTAGCTCCCTTGGCTTTGACTCTGTGCTAGAGTAATGTCTGTTCTTTCCCTCTGCATTGAAAGGACTGTTCTTTCCTTTTAAATGTATTCAGAAAGGCAGCACATATTACTTACGTTGTATTAAATGTTGTGAGTGATCCAGAGTATCCCTTCAAAAACTATCTGAACTGTATTTGCATCTGGCTATAGGGGCAGGTTGTAGGGAGTGATTCTGTGATTGTGTGTTGACTGTAGGGTCTTCATCCCCGAATAATTACTGAAGGTTTTGAAACTGCAAAGGAAAAGGCCCTACAGTTTTTGGAACAAGTTAAAGTAAGCAGAGAGATG